GCATCTATATTCAGATGCTTCAAAATGATTTCTCATATGAAAACGTACCCGAGGGTTTGCAGGAGAACATCTTGACTGAGTAATATGTATTTGTCTAGTTCCCAGTGCAAGCCAAGCAGTGGGCTTATAATAAATTGATCATGTTTAAAGTTTAATGTCGTGTTTTTTACTCGTAGCCAGTTTTGGGATCCATCCAATAACTAGCAGGTGTGACGGACAGCTAAATGAGGGAATGTGTGGACTTACTGCAGTAAAGATAATCAATACTGCAACAGCTCTAAATAGGCTACGCATGGTGTGCATTAAAGCAGGGGTTCCCAACCTTTATTCAAAAAAATTCGCGGACCGGTTGTCAATTTTAACTGATTTGAATATTTACTCACCAGCAGGTGGAAACAAAGGATAATTGTATTTAACAGCCTGAAGAAATACCAATATGCATCCACAACATATTAACAACGTTTAAAACCAGGATACAATTAAAACAAAAAAATAGGACCGCTTTACAAATAATAGAACAATATGCATCCAAAACATATTAACAAAGTTTAAAACCAGGGATACAATTCAAACAGATTAGGACCACTGTACACATATTGATATAACTATTATGAGAAAGGAAATAAAAGGAAAGGAAATAAAAGCTATCATAATCCCCATTCCTGATGTTTCTTCATTTGAACACCCACAGCAAATTCTCCAGTGTGAAAATCCTGGTGCATTTAACATGATTAACACCGCCTGTTGTTAATACACTATATAGTACAGGGTTGGATCATGGTGTTAAACATATAGGCCCATTCCCAAACCGCCTCCTACACCCTACCCCTACCCCTCCGTTTGCGCGTTCACGCGGAGGGTCCGCCATATTGAGGGCTGTTCCAAAGCAACGAGTGTGGAGCGGTGTGGAGGGGGAGTGGGCTATCAAGCCCTCAAGCAGCGAGTCTGCAGCGGTGCTGACTTGAGACCGGTCTCTACCTGACCGGAGTCACGCTGTGTGTGTCCATCAGGAAACACGCTGTTTACAAGTAGTTCCAGCAAACATCCACTGATAAATTGCGATGTTAACAACCTCATGATAACCTCACTTTGTTTTTAACTTAGGATCATACCTGTGTTTAGTCTAGAAAAAGGTAAATGTGTGCATTTTATTATAAAGTTGTGTATATTTACAGACCGTTGCAAAAACTAAGAAGCTTATACACATCAGGTTTAAAACTAAAAGATCTTTGAAACACAATGAAAGATGTTTGGAGTTTTATTTGAGTTATTCATTTAAACTTTTTGTCTAAGAGATGCTGATTTGAAACCGTTGTTACATACAGTTACGGCATTTCCTGTTTCTGCCGGAGAGAGGGGAGGCCGTCCCAAAGCTTGCTGCTGTATTTACTCCCTCCATCTGACAGGAGGGAGCCTCGTTGAGCTGCGAGTGTGGCTGCAGACGGAGTTCACTCCATCACGGAGGGGTAGGGTCGAGGGGGTGGTTTGGGATTGGGCCATAGTGTGTTCTCTCAATCCGGGTACTTGTACGTGATGTGCGTGAAATTATTTAGATCTCCGCCATCTTTTTGATGCAATCATCAGTCTCGAGAGAATTTGTTCCCCAGATAGCTTACATTAATTTTGCTTGAAAATACAGTTGTTTGTGTTAGGTAGCGTAATTGTAAATGTATTGTTTTCATTACTAGCTTGCTAATTATTACTATTTGACTGTCATGACCAGGTGCAGGTGCACAGACAACCCAGTCTCACGGCATTTCGTGTTGCACAGCACGATTTTAAAAGCAATGTATTTCTACTGCCTGCAGCACGTCTTTTTCTCCGGTCGGGTCGTGGGAGACCGGAAGCTGTGTGTTTCATAAAAACATGTTCTTACTCAATATCAAGCCACAATTATTGCTTTTATTTTAAATCGTATAATTTCGGACTTTTGTTGCCGTCTGTGAGGAAAATAAATGAGCCTCAGAATACGGAAATCTGTATTTTTAAATATTTTTTCCCTTCTAATTCGTTATTCTTTTCAAAATAACACACTGTTATTTACTCACCAATAACACACAATTATCCTTGCTTTTATTTATTGGTTTAATTCCATAATCTCGGGCTTTTTTGGCGTCCGTCAGGAACTGAATTTCAAAATAAAAATAACCGGAAACAGACGTAGGCCTATAAGGGACATTTCGAGCATCATTGCGATTGTCAACGTTTCTGAATTTAGGATGGCCGAAGACACTACACTACCCATAATCCCCAGCTATCGTTTAGGACTACAGTCCCCCGTAAGGTTACGAAGAGCGTCAAACAGCTGTGTGAAATGGAACGAAACCACCCACGCCAGACTATCCAAAACTGGAATCGAACGCCCCCCCAGAACTACACATGCTGGCTATTGTGTTTCGCAAAATGTTCTATGGGACGTCTCTACTGAACGTTTTCGTTTTTCCCACAACTATCTACATAAGAGTATAATTAATGTGTATAATATCAGTTAAAATAAGTGCTTCAACATAGTTAACATTGCAGGAAAGCAATATATTAGACGTTAAGTACTTTGTCAGGCTTAATATTTATCTGTAGATAGATACCCCCAAAGTTTTTTTCTTATTTAAAAGAAGACCTTAATCTGTTATTTAATGTTTAAATACAGGTTAATTCGTTTTTCTGTTTTGCACCTCCTCCTATTAATATCTTTGTACATTCTGCACTAAACTGTTTTATTGTAGAGATCACTTATAGTATCTTCTTGATTTTTTATATTCTATATTTATACTTTTCCCCCTATGAAAGTATGTACTCTTAATATTTTTTTAATCAAATAAAACACAATAATTCAATAACGTGCTTTAACCACTAGGAGGTGCACACAAGGTACACACAGCCATAATCACTTTGTATTATTAGTGTAGGACACTTGTGTTTTCATACAACATCTGAAGATGTGTAGTTTTATGCATGCTTTCACATCATTTTACAGCATATTGCTATACTATTTCAGACTCAGTATTTACATTCAAAGAAAATCAGTAATATCTTTAAAAACGACAGTCCTTTTATATCAGCTGTGCACCGTTATGGTGTAAATATAACCTATCTGTGAATTAGATAAAATGTAAAAGTCAGCCGAATTAGTGTTGATACTGCAAGGAGACGTATTGTGTGAAGAGAAATTGAAGATGTTGTTTAATTGTTGAATATATTTATGATCCACGTCAAGTATTCAGTTTCGGCTGCATTTTCTCAGTTTTTCCAAAGGTCTTCTCATCAGGGCTCTATAAATAAAGAACTACGGCAGATCTGTAATATACAATGCAGCCAAACCGTGTATTACAATGCCGTTATGTGATGACTTTCAAAGAGAAAAGCAAGAGCGCTCGGAATTAAGTATTATTTTATTCTTTTAAAATGTTTTCCGGATTTCATATCATATAAACACAAAATCCCAGCATGCATTGCGGCTAAAACATCCAATAAGCGAGCTTAAAACCATAGCTGAGGATCTTGGGTAATCGCTCGAAATGCCTACGTCTGTTTCCGGTTATTTTTATTTTGAAATTCAGTTCCTGACGGACGCCAAAAAAGCACGAGATTATGGAATTAAACCAATAAATAAAAGCAAGGATAATTGTGTGTTATTGGTGAGTAAATAACAGTGTGTTATTTTGAAAAGAATAACAAATTAGAAGGAAAAAAATATTTTAAAAATACAGATTTCAGTATCCTGAGGCTCTGAGCCCCATTTATTTTCCTCACAGACGGCAACAAAAGTCCGAAATTATACGATTTCAAATAAAAGCAATAACTGTGGCTTGATATTGAGTAAGAACATGTTTTTATGAACCACACAGCTTCCGGTCTTCCTCGACCCGACCGGAGAAAAAGACGTGCTGCAGGCAGTAGAAATACATTGCTTTTAAAATCGTGCTGTGCAACACGAAAAAAAGGGGCAAATCGTGTTGGTGAACACGAATCAATAGTTTAAAAATCGTGTTGGTGAACACGAAATGCCGTGAGACTGGGTTGGCACAGACCATACAGTCAATGCTTGCTTGCTAAACTAATTGTCGAATTAGATATGGATGTCGAATTAACGTTAGATATGTAACATAATATGTAATCATTAGGAAGACCAATGTATTGCACATGTCTATTGTTAGTTCGACAGCGAGCTAATGTTAACTGTGATGGTTATTCTCGTGTCCAGGAAAGAGAAGCTTAAAAAGGAGACTAAATGGAGTCTCTGAGATGTTTTCAAATTGGTACTTTAATTAATAAAAAGCGTGGTAAAGTCACAAACAGGATATTGTCCGACAGAAAAGCAGCTGCCTCTGGCCCTCGCTAGCAGAGAAAAGAGGCCGAACCCCTCAGGTTTTGTTGTTTATATAGCCTCTCCTGGCTCCTCCCTGGGGGCCGGCTCTCCGCGTATTTAATGTCCGTTGTTACACATATCACAGTATACAGACATTGTACATTCAATATATATCTAAACACTTCTTTTCTCCTCCTTAACTCTTTCATGACTTTCCATTCAACACATTCTAAACGCTGTAATCAACACTCCAAAAAATACAGGAAATCCTTCACAGCAATTCGATTTCCGGTCGCTCCTAATGTTGTGACATGCTACCCACATCTGTAAACAATAACGTACTCAAATAAACTGTACCTTCATTTAATATCCAACAATAATAATATCTCAACGTCTATAGTTGTAGTGTTGAAATCAGTAGGTTTCGGTGTGCAATATCATATCGCTGCTAAATTCACCTCTATAGGAAATGGTATATTAGCCTCATGCTAAATGCTAACCGGAGGTGAAGGATTTTCAGAATAAAAGTCTAACTGGTTGTGCACAAGAACTTCTGGTTTTTCAGTATAAAACAGCATTTAAACTAAAGGTACATTTAAGGTACATTATGCCATCAAAACATTGATTTTAATTTCTAACACTAACAAGCTCTAGTGTCCGTAAAAATGTTGTTCGATAATTGCCGCCTTTTACTTTTCTAGCATGTTCTCCGTCTAACGGAAGCAGCCATCAGTCCCGCGTCTTGCAGCAAGTGTGATCGCTTGGCCACGCCCTCGACAGACTGCAGTCAGTGAGTGACGGTAAGTTATCTAGATAACATTACATTACATTTAGCTGACGCTTTTATCCAAAGCGACTTACAATAAGTACATTCGACCAGGAAGACACAACCTTGAAGAAAACAGAATCATATAAGTACATCAGGTTTCATAGAGCCAAAACATTTCAAGTGCTACTCAACTGGCTTTAGATAAGCCAGTCCTTTATTAGTATATAAGTGCTTTGTTAATAGTTCTATCGCTCGAAGTGGAGTCGAAAGAGATGAGTTTTCAGTCTGCGCCGGAAGATGTGCAAGCTATCTGCTGTCCTGATGTCAATGGGGAGCTCATTCCACCATCTTGGAGCCAGGATAGCAAACCCACATGTTTTTAACGTTACATTTAATTTGTTCCCCAGTTATCTAACATTACTTAATTTGAAAATAATGTTAGAGTTGTGTGTGTGGTAGCTAATAATGTTTACTAGCTTACTAAGAATATGTGTCTGTACTGGCCGTGCACCTGCTTGCTAAACGTTAGCTAGCTGGCTAGCTGTCGAATTAGACACAGATGTCAAATTAGATAACATTAGCTATGTTACATACTATTATGTCATTACAAACACCAACGTATTGCACATGTCTAACGTTCGACAGCTAGCTAGCTAAGAGGTTCTGGTGTCGGTCCTTATCGGTATAGTTAGCCGACTTCGCTAACAACTTTTTTTTTTCCAATTTCCTTTCTATCACTATCTCAGTGTCACCTAATCAGCCATCAGTCCCCGCGGGTTTCGACCGTGTGGTCTCGACAGACCGCGTGACTGTAAGTTATCTACGTTTCATTGAATTTGTTCCCCAAGTGAAATTATTTAAGTGTATGTACAGTAATAAAGTTGTTGGCTAATTGGCTCCTTTTCCTTTCTAGCACGTGTTCTTCTGCTCCGTGCGGAAGCAGCCATCTTGTGTGGCCTCGACAACAGACTGCATGCAGTGAGTGATGATACGTTATCTAGATAACGTTACATTTAATTGAATTTGTTCCCCAGTTAGCTAACATTAGTTAATTTCCCTTGAAAATAATTGTAGTTGTTTGTGGTAGCTAATAATGTTAACTATCTTGCTAAAAATATTTGCAACCCAGTCTCACGGCATACATTTAATCTATTGATTCGTGTTCACAAACACGATTTTCACATTTGTTTTGTGTCACACAGAACGTTATTATTTGGTGCAGGCACGAAACATATTACCAATACAAATGCATTGCTTCTAAAATTGTTCTGTGTCAGAATACTGAAATCTGTATTTGTTTTTAAAATCTCTTTTTCCTTCTAATTTGTTATTATTTACATTGCTTTTAAAGTCGTTCTGTGTGACACGAAAAAAATGGGGAAATCGTGTTGGTGAACACGAATCAATAGATAACTTTTTTGACTATAACATGAAATGCCGTGAGACTGGGTTGCAACACACCAACACTGTGCTTAATTTGGTCCCGAAACGTTTGTCATGCACAGATAGAAGCCTCACAGCTTAAAGATACAACAATAAAAGAACAGAGCATAAAGTAGAATTTCTTTATCTAAAGACAGTTCCAATTTATATTATGCCACCCTTACACAATTTGAGTATTTGCTTGCTTAAGAAGGGGAAGTTGTGATGCATTATAATAACTTGTGGAATAACAAATGTTGTGTATCTCCATTTTACTCATATAGGGCTCTTGCTCTTCTCTTCAGCTGAAGATGATAGTCAAAGTGCAATACCGAAACCAAAAGTACATCAAAATTCCAAAATCTTGTTTTGACATCTTCATCACTGAAGGCAAGTAAACCACTTCAGAATCGGAATACCTTTATTAGTCCCACAGAGGGGAATTTTGCGATCCTTTTAGTGAAAGAGAGGTTTTCCATCCCTGTGGACAGCATCTTATCAGTGGCGGATGAGACTGGCACAGAAGTGGACGACTACGCATTTCCAGATCTACTCACTACCAGTGGAATATGCTTTGTCATCAAAGATGAACTGAATGACGGTGGTGAGTGACGACAATAAACCCTTTTCTCAGCAGCTATGTTGATGACGTCATAGCAGGGTAAACACAGGTGTAATATATCAAATGAATTTTGGCCCGATCTATTTAGTGTGTCACAGCCATTCCAGTGAGACAGCATATTATCAGGGCCCCGGCCTGCCTACATCCTAAATTACATCTCTGTTTACGCTGCATGTCAACATGGCTGCTGAGAAAAGGGTCGATTTTACATTTCTCAATTGTATTGTATGCTGATTATCCCCATGCAAGTGTCAAGCACACCACACATTTCATTGCTATAAACAATACTATCTTAAAAGGTAAAGTATTATTTATAGGAATCAAATGTGCATACTCCACTGATTTGGTGAAAATACATAATTTTGTACTTACTTGGGGTTCTTGTTGAAAGCCTTGTTCTTAAGCTTTTGCTAGACTAAAAAACACCATTGTTGTCTAAGTATTGGTCCCAAGTAGAGTGCGCTCTTGTGGACAAGGACTTTGGGACTCATACTTGCAATGGAGATTTTCAGTGGGTTTGTTGTATTTTTTAGAACACTTCACCAGTAGATTACATAAAGACATGACAAAGGAAGACCATATAATTTCAATATTTAATATCTCTTGTGTGATTACATTATTTTCCAGAGTCATCCTCATCCCCCACTTCAGGCACAGATACTATTTCAGTCACTTCGAAAAGCAGCAGTGAAAACGATTTCTACAGTGGCACACTGAAACGCTTCAGAAAAGAGGAGGAGGCTTTGCAGGGTCCACAAGCCAAAAATGTGAGTGCATGTTCAATATGTCATGTACACCATTGTTTTACATTCTAGTGACGTCTGTCCATCCGTGTGTCTGTACCAGTAGATTGCTCATAAACCTATACTGCTTACTTAACGGGTATCATTTTTGTTGTGTTTTGTTTTAAGCTGATAAAACAGGTTCTGCTGACCAAACCAGGAGGAAGTGATGTGCTGAAGGAGTATGAGGAAAAAGGAACAATTAGTCCTGCCACAAGAAAAGTGATGGTGAACATTCTAGTTGCAGACATGGTGCAGAGTGAGGGGTAAGATTCTAATTTGTTATAGCTTTGCATGAAAGTGTCATGTATGTATAGTAGAGATGTTAAGATTCACCGATTCGCATCGGTGCACCGGCATAAACGTTCAAGATGCGAGTGCACCGGTTGAAAGAGTGCACATCGGCTACAGTTTGGGTTGAACCGGGTTGAACTGGCGATGCATCGATTGCGTAGCGTCTTTGTATCGGTAAAAAACTGATTCATTCATATAAAATCCCCTCATCTTGTCAACGCTCAGCAGAGACGATCTTTGATATTTGCTTCGCCACTACGGAGGCCGAGAGTCTCAGTTATCAACACACACGGAAGTTGAGGAGAAAGAGAAACACAGCGCACCGAAAAATACCTACAAATCAAACGTTTGGCAAGACTTCGGATTGTTCAAGAAAGACGGTGTAACAGTCCTTTATGCTATATAGTTGACCGCAGGTCATGGAGAGTAATAAGGTATCTGTAGACCTTTGTATGAGGTATCTTTATTACTTAACAGGTCTACAGCCATGATACCTAGATGCGGGCTTGCATACACACAGTATCACTCCTCAGCCGCATCCCATCAGTAACGTCCTGATGGTATATGTGCGCGGCACTATATACTACAGACGGTCAACTTGAAAAATCGCTCGCAAATTGTTAACGATGCCGAGCCGCTTTAAAGTACACAAGTAGTACGAGGAACTTACAGTAGTGACGCACATAAAGAGGCGACATGGGGTCTGCGGCTGAAAAGAGAAACCTGAAAGTTAGACATATGAGTTAAATCACTCAGTGAGGTGTTCTGTCAGAGAGTGGTGTTTAGTTTACAGCAGCCTGTGACGGCCAATAATAATTGAAATGTCTTCCTTACTGTAAGCAGTTATGAAATACCTGTTTGTGAAAGGTTATTTGTATTCTTTATTGTTCATATAGAACCCACTGCTTTCTGTATGGGCATTGCACTATGGTAGCTGTTATTTGCACATTGTTAATCATGAGCAATGCATCCTTACATTGTTTAACTGTGAGGTGTTATACAATTGTACTGTACTCTGGAGAGCTTTTAAAGGTAAAAAAATAAACGGCATGATGGGATGTGCAGTACCAAATATGTAAAGCACTTTTTTGTTAATGTATGATTTGCTGCATATAAGGAATACAGATGAAGCACTCCAGATCAGACTCAGGTGGGTGTGTCCCAGTCAAAAGCCCAGCGGATGCCAGCGGCTGGGGGTGTTGCCAAATTGCTAGAGGGCGTTGCCCAATTTCCCCATTTGTTCAATTACAGGATTTAACCATGAGATGGCGCTTCATTCACAAAATACACAAAGACAACTGTTTGCAATGTTTAGAGCTCTGCAGTTGTGTTTGCTGAATACTGTAGCATGTAATCACTTATGTGTTACTGTATGGTTTTCACAAGCTACTATAATGAAAAAACATCAATATTTTAGATCAAATAAAGTATATAGTTTGCTTTATGCAGTATATTTCTTGTAATATTGTTGGGGTGTTTTTACACAGTACAGTAGATTGAAGTAAATCAATTTATACATTAAGATAAGATAAGATGGACCTTTATTAATCCCGTGGGGAAATTCAGTAGTTCAAACAGCAACAGGGTGAGAGTGAAAAACAGGACAGCACAGATTCACACAGATTCATAAAATCAAAAATAAGATGAGCGATAAAAATAATAATAATGAGAAACTATGAAATAAGAAATGAATAAAACTAAAATGTAATTATCATATCATATATTATAATGTATTGTATTATTAAGTAATATCATACATTAACCCCATTATAGCAGATGCCACATTGAATGGATGAACACATTTATGCATCAATAATTACAACAGAGTATTTCTAAATACAAGTTGTAAAAATACTTATATGTATTTAATATTAACCCTTCGGAGTCAACCGTCACGCCGGCGTGATCAGATCACATGACCTGTGCCGCATAATAACAACAGTCCGGAAAACATTGCCGTGTGTTTCTGTCGAAAGTACTGGCTTGAAACTATATCCCAGTCTTTGTTTCATGCAAAAAGACCCAGTAAACACGGAGATACAATGATATAAAGTTAATACATTTCAAAAGTATGAAAAATGGAAGCACATATTTGAATATATTCGCCGCATTTGATCATTTTACGAAACGGAAAATACTGCATTCAAAATGCAGCATATTTTTACATCCTTTTACATAGGCCTACATACATTTTCACTCGCACACACATATATTCTCCTTTTACATACATACATTTTCACTCTTACACACATATATTCTCCTTTTACATACATAGCCTACATTTTCACTCTCACACGTATATATACTCACACATTCATACATTTTGCTCTCATATTATCATATTTCAATGCACACATTCATATATTGTCACTCACACATTCATGCATTTTGTTCTCATATTCATATAATTTAATGCTCATATTTATACATTTTGCTCTCATGGGAAATGTACTAAAACAAAGTATGTCATGGTAGTGGTCAGCTGTTAAACACAAAAGTGTATCTTAAGGGCTGTAAATATAATAAGCCTGTTGTCAATTTTAGACACAGGCTTATTATATTTACAGCCCTTAATAACATTCATTTTCTGGACTCAATGTGTGTCTTGGCCGTTTTCTTTGTTCCAAGCAAACGAGTGCTTTTTGTTTTGAAATCACTTCCGCGAGTTTCGCGGGCCTCCCCCCTCGCTCCACTGCATTAGACCATTTAGTAAGGTAACAAGCAAAAGGGCAAAAACGCCTCTCAGACGCTCTTCCGTTTACTTTTTTAATAAAGAAAAACAAATGGTCCGTAGATACACGGACTCATATAGCCTATGTATGTATACTGTAAGGAGAATGTATGTG